CCACAAATGAGTAACGTGATGAGAGTTTCAATGCTAATGTGATGATAGGTATTGTTAAGAAATTGTGTACAGTAATCGTGAATTGCACAGCAGGTAGCTAGAATTTGTTTTTAAAAAAATCCTGTGGTCCCTTTAAGAGATAAAGTGCTTTTCTAAGCTTACAGATTTATACCAAAATTGTGTCTGTATGTAGCTGAAGATATACAGCCAGTTCGAAAATGGAAACATGTATCAATTGGCTGTGTGATTGGAAACCTTAGGCTTGTTTTGATGCTTTGGCAATTAGCTGGAATCAGCCAATTAATTTAAACCAAGCAATTAGCGATTGAAAGCCAATTGAGTTTAAATCTGGCCAAGCAGCATCAGAGGAGCAGGAAGGCTGACGTTTCAGGCCTAGACCCTTCTTCAGAAAATGAAGGCCTGAAACGTCAGCCTTCCTGCTCGGCCTGCTGTGTTCATTCAGCTCTGCACCTTGTCATCTCAGATTCTCCAGCATCTGCAGTTCCTGAATTTAAATCTGATGGTTTTGACAACCTCAGACCAATGCGATTGTAAGAAACTGGACAGGTTATCAAGGGTATTAAAAAAAGGACATTTGGAAAATCGGCAAAGAGCCAAATGCCATCTGAAGAATAAATACTTAGCTCTCACACAAAATCACTAAGCGCTCTAAAAAATAAGCACTATAAAAAGTACCATGGCAATTCTAGCTAAGATTCCTCACAGAAGAAATTAGAGAAAACATCCCTGACAGCAGGATCAGCAGAAGAAAGTCTGGAGAGACACTGGAGCATTCTGGAAAACACATTCTGTGTGAACTTTGAGTGGCTAAGTTTTAATTTATTATTTTCTTATTACTTTGATTTGTATAAGTGGGACCTGTGTTTATTGGAACAGCATACCAGTAGAATTGAGTTCAGGTAGGGAACAGGTAGTAGTTAAGGGGGAACTGTTTGTTTTGTTAGTAATTCTGTTAAATTTTTCACTGTTAGAATTCAATAAATAAATTGTCACCTGTTACTTATAAAGTGAATATCAGGGATTTTCTTTCACCTAACCTCCCTTTCTCCATAACAGTATTTAGGCTGTGCATCCCAATGACTGGCAGACTGTGGTAAACATTATGTCCTGTTCACTATTCGCAGTGGGAAACATGGTGTTTGTGTTCAACCAGTGTGTGCCTGCAAGCCTCAGATATTTACATTTACCAGTAAATATGATTCTGCTACTGGAAATCATTTATTAAATAATCTGGACTGTACTAAGAGGTACATCAGAAACAAATTGAAGATTGTTGGTCAGTCTCAGAGAGACGCATTTGTGTGTGCCGGAAGCTACACACAAGTACACAGTTTCATGTAGGCAACTGGAATTTGTACACACATTGTACCTTTTTTCAAAAAAGTGTTCATGCAGACAGCCAATTGCTGCTGCATCACCATGGTGACACCCTAACCAATCAGAAACTACCTGCCAGGTCCAAGAATTAAGATTGACAGTAACTGTTTTTGCTGCTTCTCCATGCCAATGATGGTTCAACCAATGAGCACCCTATTCTCACACAATCTAAAATATTAACCCTTTTTTCAAGTCTGTTTGTTGCATCCTGGTTCTGATGAGAGCAAGACAAGACTACTTATTGACTGGCAAGGATCCGGTACCTAAGATTCAGAAAGCATTACAAGTTCTCAAAGTTGCAAAATATTTCTGCAGTCTCGATTTGGCCCATGGTTATAACCAGCTACCCATCAGTGAACCAGACATTGCGAAGATGGCATTCTGAACAGACACAGGGAGACTTTATGAAGAACTGAGAATACTGTTTGGGCTCTGTAATGTCCTTGCCACCTTCATGTGTGTGATAAATAAACCTTTTTTCAAGTTTAATTTCGAATCTCTCCTTGTGTAGCTGGACAATATACTCAACTTCAACTCAGCATTCAAGGAAACCCTTGAAAGATTAAACAGCGTCTTAGCCCAATTGTTGCAGTTTAGTTTGAAAGTCAAACAGCAAAAGTAGGAGCAAGGGAAGGCCATTTGTTTTGCCATTCAGTACAATCGTGGCTGATCATCCAACTCAGTACCCTGTTCCTACTTTCTCCTCAAAACCTCTGACCCCTTTACCCCTGAGAACTATATTTAACTCCATCTTGAAACCATTCAATGTTTTGGCCTCAACCAACTTATGTGTCAGAGAATTCCAGGGGTTCACCACTCTCGATGTGAAGATATTTCTCCTAACCTCCGTTCTAACTGGCCTACACCATATCCTTAAACTATAACCCTGATTCTGGATTACCCGATCATCAGAAACTTCTTTCCTAAGTTTACCCTGTCTATTCCTCTTATAAATTATAGGTATCTACAAGGCTCCCCCTCATTCTTCCAAACCCTTGTGTATATAATCCTAACCAACCCAGTCTCTCTTCACATATCAGTCCTGCTATCCCACATTCAGTCTGGTAAAGCTTTGTGGCTCTACCTCCATAGCCAGAACATCCTTCCTCAGTTAAGGAGACCCAAACAGTATACATTAATATGTATTGTGAATAGCTGGGGTCCAAGTAATAAAATCTCTGCAGTACTCTGTTCAATACTGCCACTGTATTCCAAGTGCATTGCTTTTAGACCTTTTATAATGGACTCTAGCATTTTCCCCACTTATGATATCAGGCTAACCAATCTGTAATTCCCTGTTCTCTCTTTACCTTCATTTTTAAATAGTGAGGTACAGGAACACCCCTCCTATCCATAGGAACTATTCCAGAGTCTACAGAATCTTGAAAGATAGCCACCAATGCAACTACTATTTCTAGGGCCACCTACTTAAATACTCCAGGGATTCATTGGCCCTTAATCCCAGCAATTTCCACAACACCATTTCCCTACTAATATTGATGTCCTTCAGTTCCTCACTCTTACTAGACTCTGTGTTCCCCAAGATTATGTTAGCTGTGTCCTCCTTTGTGAAGATAAAGCTAAAGTATGTATTTAATTATCTCTTTGTTCCCCATTATAACTTCCCCTGTTTCTGACTTGTTTCTGAAACCAGACAGAAAAAAATACAGCATCTTGAGCACTTCATTACCAAGAAAGGCATTATTCCTGACGATGATAACATCCAAGCTGTAGAGGAGTCGTCCAGGTCGAAGACAGGAAGTGAATTGTGTGGTCGAGCTGGTTTCTGTAAGAGGTTTGTGTTAGGCTACCCAAAGTTGTCCATTCCCCTCCATAATTTGCTAAGAAAATCGGAGAATACTTAAGGAGTGGTTGGGAAAGAATATACAAGGTGTGACACTTCACAAAATGTTCGCAGGGAGTTGGACCCCAATATATGAAGATTCCTCTTGCATCTTCAGGCAGAAGCTGTCTCATCACCTGTTTTGGCTACCCAAATTTCCAACTCCGTTTCATACTGGAAACCGATACTAGTTTTCTTGGTCTAGGAGTGGTGCTGTCACAGGTTCAAGAGCAGAAAAGAGTGATTATAGCTTTTGCCAGTTGGAGTCGCAAGCCGAACAAGAGGAATATGGAGAATTACTCCAGTTGTTATGGCTCCCTAGTGTAACGCATTGTTACCAAAGAATGACAGAATTTTAAAAAAATTCTCAATGTCCCCGATTTACCTGTCTGATAGATTTAAGTTTACAGAAAACCTGGACTAGGTTTCTGTAATTAAGAAGAATTATTATTTATTACAAGTAAATAGAATCTAACGAAAGGTAAACAACTATGAATTATTGACGTATAAGTCTGCCAGTTAAAACTCCAATCTCCTTTTTAAAACACCCCCTATACACAAATATAGACAAACATAGACAGAAAAATATTTGGCGTTATTGACGGAAAGGAAAAAAAACTGGGAACAACAGTTCAATAGTCCCGCTTCTCAGGATTTTATGAGGTATTGCTTTTGTTTCCTAAGTCCTTCAGTACTCTGATCATTTCCTTTGAGTTCTTTCACTTCTTCACAGGAGCCACAGAACAACTAGTTCACAAATAATACTGTCTCTGACTTACTGGTTAGAGGCTGCGTTCACTGACACCAGTGCATGCATGCTGTGTACAACTCAAAATATCTGCATATGTATTTAAACAGGTTCAGGTTTTTAAATGGGATGCAGCTGCGAATGGGAGGAGGGACCGGGTGATGTGGCTGGGGAAGGGAAGAGAGGGAGAGAGGGATGCAGGGAGGAATGCAATGAACTGGGAACACAGAGGGGAGGCTGTGATGTGGAAATTAGGGCCACCCCCCCTTCCCTACACACTGTATATCCTCAATCTTCTGCTCCTCCTGGCATTCCCCAACACCCAACCCACAGTCCTCACTCCCTTCTACCTTGGCGCTGACTTCCCGGCCCCCATTCCCCAGCCCTTCACCACTGATGCACAGTGGCAGCAGCATGTAATATCTACAAGATCTTCTACAGCTGTACACAAAATGTGTGCTGGAGTAAATAACGATCTGAAATCATGATGTTGAGATGTCTCAAAATGCAATTTGACAAGTTCAGACATATTTTAAAAATCCTAATTCACTGCGTGAAGGGGAATGTGTGAGGAACAGAAGCCAAACTTGATCCCTCAATAATGACCAAGGATAAACCAGAGTGAAAGTAACAGTGAAAACCAGCAGAGACCAGGGACCAATGCTTTTGTGACTTCTGCTCTTCCTGACCCAGCGCAGCATGAAAACCTGGGTTTTCTCATTATGTAGCACATTGATGTATTTCTGATTACTGAGTAACATACCATAGAACAAACTCCAAGAGCGTGTATCTGTGCCACAATCAACGGGAAAAAAAACCGTAAAAATACAATAATGCCTGGAAATGAACATACAGGTCATAGAGGAGCTCTATTTTGAGGTACATTAGATGAGTCAGACCAGGGCACATCATTTATATGTTTCACTGGGTTTTTCCTTCTGGGCTTGGAAATCGAGGGAGGAACAAGGGGCGGATTCACAGTAGCCAATGAGAGGCAACTCTGCTTTCCAGCTTAATATTTTTGCACATATAAGATTGCGGCAGGTTAATATTTTGTTCTTTTCTAAATTCTCTGAGGTGCCTCAATCAACTCCCTTTCATCATGGTGAGTAGCCATTGTCATACATTCAATCCAAATCTTCTTGTTAAATGAAATATTTTTGCAGCTGAGTGCCTTAGGAAAGAACACAGAGGTGAACTGTAACATATATTAATGAATGTGCTGTAGTTTCACACTGTATCTCATCAGCTGAAGAGAAATGGTCATTGCCCCTTGTCATGCTCAATTTATTCTATGGCAGAATACTTTTCTGTCTCTTTTAAGACGGTGTTTCAGAGATTAATTCATAACTAAAGACAAAGGTTCAAAGGGAAAGTAGCAAAAGAATCTAGAGATCCTTTTGTGCTCTATTAAAACTGGCCATGATTTTGAAGTAGATCCCAAAACAGGCGCTAAATTGTCAGAGAGGCAACTCCATCTATCCATTTGTGTCAGTGAGTGGCCTGAGCCAATTCAAAGGACAGGAATCATTAACGAGCCACGAGAAGACTGTGAACACTGAGTGTGCTCCCCACGGCAACTTGCCGATTGTGAGAAGGTAGCAGACTGGCTGGGTTCCGTACACAGTGGTAATTGCAGGACAGACAGGGATGGGGAGGTGTTAAACAGGCAAGTTGCAGGTCAGGGTTTTCTTTTACAGGGCACAGGAGAAGCATTTCTTTCTTCCTCACTGCAGGAGCTGATACTGGACATCGGCCCACTAACTTGAAATAAAATAATTAGCAGACAGAATTTGTTAAAGGGGTATTGACTGCAAAACCCAATCCATCTTTTGGTAGTCTCACAGGAAAAACATTGGGACTGATTGACACCAGGTGGAAAAGGGTGGATTAAAATGGCTTCTAAACAGGAAATGGCTGCAGGTAGCAGCAGAAGTTGCTGTTGATAGTGGCAGTGTAGGGCTGGCAGTGGACTTTAATCCTTCACAATTGTTAGATTAACATTCTAAATAAGGAGAGATTGAGAAAGAAGGGGGCCCGAGGTAGGGCTATCTTGGAGAATGACGATTCTCACAGAGGAACCAGAGATTGCTGTCCACATGGAGATTACATACTCTGGAGGAGGCTCTCCCAGTGAGAAGGAAATGAGGAAAAGGAGACAGAGGAAGCCAAATGTACAGGGAAAAGGGCATCATGTGTTTCAGATAGGTGAAGGACCTGCTGTTACTGCAATAGCCACAGCAAGAAAAAAACAATAAGTCAATGTGTGGGAGAAGACAGTAACCCACACAAAGTCTCTATAGGGAAAGGGTCTGTTGCCTTCAGTTGTGAGATCACCGCTGCCTTCGCAGATTGTTCTCTCCTCCCTCTGTGAACTGCTAGCTAGGAGATTTGTTCAAATTGCATCAGTGTCACCCTATGCCAATTGCTCTCAAGATGACTGTGGCCTTGAACATTTATGCATTGGGGTCATTCCAGGAACCAGCCAGAGACCTTCATGGAATACCTCATCTTCAGTTGACCAATGCATAAACTATTCTTGGATAGAATGTTTAAGTGAATAAATGACAACTTCTTTCACCACCAATGACACCAGTTAGACCAAAAGAGCCAGAAGCTTCACCTGTATGGCTGGATTCCCCAAACTTCAAAGTGTGATAAATTATGGCCATCAATGCTCCATAAGATTATCCAGACGTCAGTCAGAAACGGTTTCATGTCAACAATACCCAACTCGTATGTGATCATTGTCAAAGTATCATACAGCTATCTCCTCTCTATCCTTTGGATTCCCAGGATCAGTGGATATTGTGGCTGCCATAGCCATAAGTGGGTTGGCATCTTTGTGATGTTTAATGAAGAGACTGCTCATTATCCTGGTGGGAAATTCACATGCAGAGAGTGAGATGCATTAAAATGAGAATCATGCATCCTCCAGGGCCAACATTGTGCAGATTTTTGCATAAGATAATGGTTCTGAATGAGGTAATGTTTATGTTACATCAAGCTCCACCCAATCTGATGATGCCATACCAACCTTTGTGGAAAGTATTCTGTATATATCCCAAAAGCCCTTAACTAATTAAGCCTGACCATTAATGTAAACTGTGCTTAATCATATTTTAACCCATCTTCTTAACGAAGGAAAGTGCCTCCCCTATTTAGACTCGAGCCTCTACCACTGATAATTAGCCAGAACCTAGATACAGTACTGACAAAGGAGGACTGGTGCTGACCCATGCCCTGTGCCACATTACTAGCAGAGGTGGCTGACTCTACAAGGTGCCAGAAATCAAGTCAAATACTATACAGACCACTTAATCTGTTCCAAATGGGATTTCAATGAAAGTGGCTCTCTTCAATGTTCTCCAGCTCATGTCTCATGATTATCATGGTCTGCTACATCCCCTATACAAACTGGCACTCCAGAGAGGGAAGGCCCTTGCAGAGGATAAACTAATGGCCTGAGCCACATTCTCTGAGGGTGAGTCTACCTGTGAAACTGAGGGCAAACAGGAAGTCCTCAGCAAGCTGTGGGGCCGCCTGTCATCTGAGCTCCTCCATCATCTGGCAGCTGCAGGAGTTGGCGAGGAATTAAAGTCAGAAGGTGCTGGAAATGGTGCGGTGGACATCTAGCCTCTGTGGAGAGACAGAGTTAAAAACTATGTCTCTAAGACTGTACATGTCCTCTTCCTTCTGAACACCTCTTATTACTAATGGGTCAGAAATGTGGGGAGGGGATGGCCTTGTGGTATTATCACTGGACTGTTAATCCAAAGACCCAGATAATGTTCTGGGAACCAGGGGTCGAATCCTGCCATGGCAGTTGGTGGAATTTGAATTCAATAAATCTCTGGAATTATGAATCTAACGATGATCTTGAATCCATTGTCAATTGTCGGGAAAAAACCCACCTGGCTCACTAATGTCCTTTAGGGAAGGAAACTGCCATCCTTACCTGGTCTGGCCTACATGTGACTCCAGACCCACAGCAATGTGGTTGAGTCCTAACTGCCCTCAGGGCAATTAGGGATGGGCAATAAATGCCGCCTGGCCAGTGACACTCCTCATCCCGTGAATGAATAAAGGATGAAAAAATGTTCTTTCCTGCTTGGAAAGGGTTAGAATAAGACACTGCTGGCACCATCATTCACTGACTGGGAAAAAATAACATGCACTTCCCTTTGATGCTGCACGGTTTCAGTGCACACTAGAGATTGTCATTTTCAGATTTCTCCTGAAGCTTCCAGCCACTCAGCACCAGCGTGTATATACAAAGCTGAGACTGACTTCCAGATCACAGCCTAAGCTCTCTCCCATTGGAGGTCTTTTTTTTCTAAATTATTCATTTTTTTATTCCTTCACCAGGATGTGGGTATCACTGGTTGGCCCAGCATTTATTGCCCAGTCCTAGTTGCCCTTGAGAAGGTGGTGGTAAACTGCTGTTTTGAACTGCTGCAGCCCATGTGCTGTGGAGACACACGCAATGTTTTCTATATATTTGTAGTCAACATTACAGCTTATGTTAGGCAGAATAGTTTGCAGGGGTCTCCCAGGGGAAAGATCATGTAGGTGATTGTATCAAAGCCTCTGGATGGGTCAAGGAGAACGTGGAAGGACAACATGTTGTGGCTTCATTCTCTGGTGACTATGATCAGGATGCTTTAATATTATAGCTGGAGTAGGAATAAAACTGAAGGGAATCAAAGAGAAAATGTGAACAGGGTGATTTTAAAGTTGGAGGGCAATGATATGTCAGCATAAAATTACCAACAACTTAGACTTTGATAGAGAGAAACCCATGGTCAGAGTTTGATCAATCAGATAAGTCCATCAAAGGACAAGGTGATGAGAGGCATAGATAGAGTGGGTAGCCAGAGACTTTTTTCCATGGTGGAACTGACTATTATGAGGGGGTATAATTTTAAGGTGATTGGAGGAAGGTAAAGGGGAAATGTCAGAGGTAGGTTCTTTACACAGAGAGTGGTGGGTGCATGGAATACACTGCAGCGGTAGTTGTACAGTCAGATACTTTGGAGACTTTTAAGCGACTCTTGGATAGGGACATGGATGATAGTAAAATAAAGGGTATGCAGGTTAGTTTGATCTTAGGGTAGGATAATAGGTCAGCACAACATCGTGGGCCGAAGGGCCTGTACTGTGCTGTACTGTTCTATGTTCTATGATACTGTGCAAGGTGACAGTAAAATTGTGACAAACTAGCTACCGAATGATGAGAAGTGGATTATTTATTGTTATATCATAAAATTCAACTATTTTATTTTGGTTTTTTTTTCAGACAACCTACACTGATAAAGGGGAGAAGGTACGGTAAATCTGCTCCTTCAAGTTTCAAACAATTTATTGGCTTGCTGTTTTTCTGCATTCTGCCTAAATGAAGACAAAAAGAATAATCCCAAATCTTTCCGTTACAGCTGGAAAAAGGTCAATTTGTCAGCTTTCACCATGTGACCTTCTGGGTAGGAAATGCTAAACAGGTGAGATGAGTAGCAAGCTTTATTCCTATCCCAGCTAAAACATTGAAGCATCCAGGCGTACCTACAGCGGCAGTCAACAACAAATTGTATTTGTATAGCACCTCTGACCTAATAAAACATACCAAGGTATTTCACAGGACCACTAAAAAACAAAATATTACACCTAACTATATAAGGGCATGTTAGGACAGGTGCTCCAAAACATGGTGAAAGAGTTAGGTATTAAGGAGCATTCATATGAAAGAAAGTTAGAAATGGAGACAGAGAACTTTAGGAGGGTATTCCAGAGGTTGTAGCGGAGGGAATTGAAGGTGCTGCCACCTACAGTTAAAATTGAGGATACTGAAGAGGCCAGAATTAATGGAGCACAAATATCATAGAATCCCAACAGTGTGAGAGCAGACCATTCAGCCCCATTGAGTCCACACTGACCCTCTGAAGAACATCCCACCCTATCCCTGTAACCCTGCATTTCCCATGGCTAACCCATCGAGACAACGTATCACTGGACATTACGGGCAATTTAGCATAGCCAATCCACCTCACCTGCACATCTTTGAGACTGCGGGAGGAAACTGGAGCACCTGGAGGAAACCCATGCAGATACAAGGAGAACGTGCAAACTCCACATAGACAGTCACCCAAGACTGGAATGAACCCGGGTCCCTGGCGCTTTGAGGCAGCAGTGCTAACCACTGAGCCACCGTGCCACCCCCCTATTATCATGCACCTCTGGAGCAGGTGGGACTTGAACACAGGTCAACTCACTCAGAGATAGGTACATTACCATTACACCACACTAGCCCCCTGTCTTAGAATGGTAGGACTCAAGGTGATTATAGATATAGGGATAGGTAAGGTTTTGGATGGATTTAAAAACAAGTGTGAGAATATTGAAATCAAATTATTGCTTACATAAACAAAGTTGCTGGAAAAGCTCAGCAAGGCTGGCAGCATCTGTGGAGGAGAAAACAGAGTTAACGTTTCGGGTCCGGTTATTGCTTAGTCAGGAGACAATGTAAACCAATGAGCACAAGGACAACTTAGTGGAGCTAGGACATTGAGCAGCACAGTTCTGGATTACCTTCAGCTTACAAAGTGTAGAATGTGGAGGTGGTCAGGATTGTATTGAAATGTCATATCAAAAGGAGAAAAAGGCATCGATGAGAATTTCTGTAGCAAATGAAATTCAGGCAGGGGTGAAGTTGCAGAACGTTATAGAAAGGAAAATGAGTGGTTTTAGGCATGGTGTGGATATGAGATTAACTCAACCACATTTGGACACAACTTTATCTGCAAACAGCCAGATCCAAAGAACTCATTTCACACACCACATGCTTATACACAAAATATATGCAACCTTCCACTTTACTGAGTTCCACAGCTTTTTCACAAAATGTAAAAACCAGACTACTTCAAATTCTAGAACATTACGTGATATCTAAAGATCTTAGAAATAAATCTAAATTGAAAGAAAACGAAAATGATGGAATTAATATAAGTGATAGTGAATGTGAAAAAATATCAAAGGCATTTTAAGGAACAAAGGAAAGTGTAGATAATCACAAAAATGGTCGTCAAGTAAAAGGTGAGTTTTAAAGAGATTTTTAAAGAAGGAAAGGAAAGTGAATGTTCACCAAAAGGTGAAAGTAGAAAGGGGTGTTTCTCTGGAATGGAGGTAAGGAATTCATGGTTACAAGAGATAGCCAGGGAATATTGTGAATGCTGGGAACAGAAAATCAACCTGTCAAGACCTGCAAAGAGGAAAACAAGTTAATGTTTCATTTGTCAGGTCTGTTGGAGAGTCGATACCTAAAAAGTTAGTCTGTCTCTGTTTCAGATGTCGATAGGCCTTTTGAGGATTCTCCGCATTTTCTGTTACTTCTACCTTTCGTCTCTTGTTCTGAAAAAATCTACAGAACAGAAAAGGAACACAATGCATTAAGATTTGAGAAGGTTGGAGAGAAAGTGGATTAACTCAGGAATGACTGGCTTATAAGACAAGATGTTTGGGTTGTTAAATGAAATATTGTTACAGTAAAATGCAGGATAATGGCATCAAGAAACATAAAACTCTTTGTGGCACCAGGTAGTGTCACTGCACGCTACCTGACAATCCAACACTGTTCAGCCCTCTCTCAGAAACTTCATCTGATTATAGAGTCATAGAGTCATACAGCACGAAAACAGGCCCTTTGGTCCAGCCAATCCATGCTGTCCATAATCCTAAACTAAACTAAACTAGTTCCACCTGCCTGCGATTGGCCCATATCCCTCCAAACTTTTCTTCATGAACTTATCTGAATGTCTCTTAAACATTGTACCTGCATCCACCACTTCCTCTGGAAGTTCATTCCACACATTAACCACACTCTGTGTAAAAAGGTTACTTCCGCATATCCTTCTTAAATCTTTCTCCTCTCATCTTAAAAATATGCTCCCTAGTCTTGAAATCACCTCCACTGTCATCTCCCAGAAGTGAAATTGATTCCATTACGAAACTGCTATGTCACGATGCAGGCATAGTGCAGAAAAGAAGGTCAATAGGATCCTGAACCTGAGATAATCTGACGGTTTCAGTATAAAAGTTCATTCACCTTCTGGGTGCTGACATTCCTTTACCTAGAAGCTTATCAAGGACAGAATGTACACTGTGCAACATGAGAGCACACAACATTGCAACACCAGCTACAAACCTCCTGCAATCTTGCAATTTTTCAACATCATGAACATTGCCCAATATGCAAGGCTTTTGATTACAATTCATGATTTATTTGCAAATCAAAATTAAACTGTATCTACAAAGCACCTTTCATTTCCTCTGAATAGTCTAAAGTGCTTTAGAGTCAGTGAAATGTAGTCACCGTTGTTAGATAGACAAACATGCCTGTCAATTTGGACACAAGGTATCATAACCAGTCATGAGATAAATGGTCCACAGCATATTCTGACAGTAATGATTGTGGGATGAATGTTGGTCAAAGTATCAGAATTTTCATGCTCGCCTTATCAAATAGACAAGGCAACATCTCATCTCGAAGACAGTACATCCTACAATGCCACCTTTCTCCCCTCTGTGCAACTGTGAAGTGTCAGCTTTGATTATACAGTAGAGTCTTGATTTTACTGTATATTTGATCATAGCGATGTATCTTGGATTAACTTGGGCAAACACCACTGTCATCTCCCAGAAGTGAAATTGACTCCATTATGAAACTCTTATGTCATGGTGCAGTTTCCAGACCCTGGAAGGGTCACCGGACACAAAATGTTAACTCTGTTTTTTCCTTCACCGATGCTGCCAGATCTGCTGAGCTTTTTCAGCAACTTTGATTTTGTTCCTGTTTTACTTATTTCCCCTCATGAAATCACTTGCTTTTCACTACTCTCTGATTAGCCTCATTCAGAACTCATCCCTTGAACTTCAGTAATTCTTTAGCCCTTAACTATGTCTTCTCTATTTAAGTTTTAGTTATGTTTTTAGACATTTTATAAGTTATTGTTAGTTTACAAAATGCAACAGGCATCCCATTAAAAAAAATGCTGACCAACATATACAGACATAAATTGTTACCAACCCACAACTTCTGAAAAAACAAGAGGACAACACAATTTACCTCCAGATCAACAGAGCTTGTATAAATTAAAGCTAATAAAATGAGACATCAATAACCCGACACAAGGACAGATTGCAGCACTAGATTTTAGACTAGACTATCAGAAAAGCAGTTTATATTCAATCAAAGCAGCTTTTCTACAACTTGAGTTGGCAGTCAGGAATATAAAGGTTATGAAGGTAAGTATTTCACAGAGAATTAAAAACTGTTGGCATCGCAAGGTTGTAGACCTAAGATCAGATTTCCTGGAGTATTCATTTCAGTGAAATGTCCATAGGTACAGAGTCATTTTGGCTTGTGATGCAAATTGACTCCAACAGCCGGGTTCAATTTCTGCACCATCTGTGGTCACTATGACAATCCCAGCTTCTCAACCTCACCTCTTACCGTAGGCTGGGTGATCCTGTGGTTAAGCTCACTACCAGTCATTTCCTTTGAATGAGGGAGAAGCCTATGGTCCTCTAGCAGTATGGTTACTTCCACATTTTCAAAATGTTCAAAAGTTGGAATTGAGTTAAGTACAATGAAAGAAAAACTTTTTAAAAAATCATTCATGGGACATGGATAGAACTAGCAGGTTCAGCATTTATTTTTGATTCCTAGTTGAGAACATGGTAGTGAGCCTTCTTCAGGAGCCATTGAGTCAATGTGGAATAGGTCCACCCACAGTACTGATGGAATGATGTTAACACAGCTATGATGAAGGCCCACCAATTTATTCCCAAATCAGGATGATGCGTGACTTTCTATGCACCAGTTGCCTTTATCTTTCTTGTGCTAATGAAGGGTGAGGGTGAGCTGTAGCAAGCTGAAGTGATAAACTAAAACAGCTACAGATAGGTTGAGTCTGACATTAAGCCATGTAGTGTTTAGAGTCATACAGCATACATACAGAAACAGGCCCTTTGGCCCACCATGTCTATGCTGGTCAACAAACACCAAAAGACACATCCCATTTACCTGCACTTGGCCAATGGCCTACTAAGCCCTGGCATTTTAAGTACTCATCCAGACATTTCTTAAACATTGCGAGAGTACTAACCTCCAGCACGTTCAATATATCTACCATCTTTTCTCAGATCTCCTGTGAACCACTTACTCCTCACCTTAAACATATGCCCTCTGGTCTGAGGCTTGTCTGTAATGGGGAAGAGATTCTCATGATCTACTCTGTCTATACCTCCCATAACATTGTATTCCCTCAATCAGATTCCCCGCTCAGTCTCCGTTGCTCCAAAAACAAATCCAGCCTACCCAGTCTTTCCTCATAACTGACAATTTTCATCCCAGAAAATGTCTTGGTGAATCTCCTCTCTATTCTCTCTAGTACAATCACGTCTTTCTGATAGTCTGATGATTGGAACTGCACATAGTATTCCATCTGTGGCCTAGCCAATGTTATATAACATTGTAACAAGACTTCCTTACTCCTATGTACTACCTTCCAGCTAACGAAGGTAAGCATCCCGTATGCCTCCTTCACCACCCCGTCAGCCTGTGATGGCAGCTTCAGGGATCAATAGACTTATACACTAAGGTTCCTGTATTCCTCAGTACTCCCCAGGGACCTACCATTCATTGTGTATATCCTTCCCTTATTTGACCTCCCAAAATGCATTGCATCGCACTTATCAGGATTAGATTCCATCTGCCATTTCTCTGCCCAATTTAGCAGCTAATTAACATCAGACTGTAGCATGAGATGATCCTCCTCACTATCAACTCCACCAATTTTCACATCATCTGCAAACTTACTAATTATGCCTTCTACATTCAGTTTCAAGTGGTTAGCATACTTAACAGCAAAGTAAGAGCAAGTAATTTCTTTTTCTATGTGTGTTAATGGTGTAAGTCATTATGAGAATTGGGGAGAAGAATGAGACTCAGAATTTATAAATAATGGCCTTTACAATACAATACGCTCACTGAGAATAACCAATCAAACTAAACAAATGTCCATCACACAATGTGTGTTTATCTGTCACTGCAGGCTGCAATGTATTACTGCGACAAATTTGGATTTGAATCTGTAGCATACAAAGGATTGGAGTCGGGGCATCGTGATAGGGTATCACATGTCATTAGGCAGAATAAGGTAAGGACCAGCTTGCTGAGAAAGACGTCACTAAAAGTTGACTTTGCATCATGATATTTTGGCTTTGAAATTCTGGATTGGAAAGGGGCTAGAACCAGGGATGAGGAAACATCTGAACAAAGTGGAACTTAGACCTAGTAGGTATCAGTCCTTTGCCAATCTTGTTAGATATTTCAACACCTTGGGGAATGATTATATTATTATCTGGTACAAATGAGGAAATTGATCAAAAGGGTAGTTCTTTCACTGTATTTTTAGCCTTGTTGCACCAATAGGTCTCTGGCATGCAACATTCCTAAGACCAATGTTGAAGGGGCATGATGGTCTGAAATTCTCAGCATGTATCTGTATTGTATACACCAGATTTTTTTTTGTTATTTCATTCATGGGATGCGTATGTCACTGGCTGAATTTATTACCCAACCCTAACTGCCCTTGAGAAAGTGCTGGTGGGCTGCCTTCTTGAACAGCTGTAGTCCATTTGGTGTACGTCAACCCTCAATGCCATAGGGAGGAATTGCAGGATATTGACCCAGCAACAGTGGAGGAATGGGGATATCTTTCCAAGTCAGAATGGTGAGTGGCTTGGAGAGGAACTTGGTAGCAGTTCCCATGTATTTTCTGCCCTTGTCCTTCTAGATGGTAGGTGGCAGTTGGTTTGGAAGCTGCAGCCGAAGGACCCTTGGTGAATTTTGTTTTAGAATCCCGCCAGTGTGGAAACAGGCCCTTCCACCCAACAAGTCTAGACTGACTGTCTGAAGAGCATTCCATCCCCTCCCTGTAACCTTGCATTTCCCATGGCCAACATACCTAATCTACACATCCCTGAACACTATGGACAATTTAGCATTTTACCATGGCCAGTCCACCTAGCCTGCACATCTTTGGACTGTGGGAGGAAACTGGAGCACCCAACAGGAACTCACGCAGACACGGGGAGAACATGCAATCTCCATACAGACAGTCGCCGGAGGTTGCAATCGAACCTGGGCCCTTGGTGCTGTGAGGCAGCAGTGCTAACCACTGAGCCACTGTGCCACCCATTTCTGCAGTGGATATTGTGAAGATGGTACACGTTGCTGCTACTAAGCGTCAGTGGTGGAGAGGGGAAGTATTTGCGGATTTGGTGTTAATCAAATGGTCAGCTTTGTCCTAGATGATGTTAAGCTTCTTGATTGTTGTTAGAACTGTATTCATCCAGGCAAGTGGACAGTAATCTGTCACACTCCTGACTTGTACCTTGTAGATGGTGGGATGGCTTTGGGGAATCAGGAGGTCAGTTAATCACTGCAGTGTTTCTAGACTCTGTGCCACTCTTGTAGGTGTAATTTTTTAACGGCTGATTGAACTTAGTTTCTGTTCATGGTAACCTCCAGGGTCTTCACAGTGGAGGATTCAGTGATGGGTGATGCTGTTGAAGTTCCCGGGGAAGCTCTTTTGCTGGAGATGGTCTTTGCTTGGCACTTACATGGTGCAAACAGTATTGCCACTTGTCAGCCTAAGACAGGATATTATTGTGTTTGGACATTGAATGTTTTAGTATGTGGCGAGTTGGAAGTAGTGCTGAAGATTGTGCAATCATCAGCCAAAAACCCCTGACTGACCTCATGGTGGAGAGAAAGACATTGATGAAGTATGTGAAGGTATCTGGGCCTAGGACACTACCATGAAAATCTCTAAAGCAATGTCCTAGAACTGAGATAACTGATCTCCAGCAAACATAACCATCTTCCTTTACGCTAGGTGCAACTCCAGCTGAGAATCTTCCACCTAATTGCTGTTGACTTTAGGGCTCCTGTCAAATGCAGCTTTGGTGTTAAGACCTGTCACTCTCACCTCACCTCTGGAGTTTAGCTTTTTGTCCATGTTTGAACTAATGTTGTAATGAGGTCAGGAGCTGAGTGGCCCTGGCAGAATCCAAACAGAGTGTCACTGAGCAGGTTATTGCTAAGCGGTGCTGCTTGATAACACCATTGATGTCATCTTCCATCACTTTACTGTTGATGGCAAGTAGACTGATGCAGGATTAATTGACTGGGTTAGATTTGTTCTGCTTTTTGTGTACAGCACATACCAGGGCATTGTCAGGTAGATGCCAGTCTTATAGAGGTACTGGAACAACTTGGCTAGGGGTGCAGCAAGTTCTGGAGCAGGTGTCTTCAACACTGTTGCTGGAAGGTTGTCAGGGCCCACAGCATACATTTCCTATTCAGTGTCTTAGCCATTTCTAGCTATCACATAGACTGAATCAAATTGGCTGAAGACTGACATTTATGATGCTGGGAACCTCCGGTCAACATGTGTTACATGACATGAGCCCCTTGTGTCCCAATCTGTGGCCTGCGATAGGTCCCTATGCTTCTATAGTGTTGTTTCTGTTATCCCTTCTGTTGATCAGAGTTTTTAAACTTAATCCTGTGTTTCTTTTTTCAACAGATTTTCTTTGTTTTCCAGTCAGCACTGAATCCTGGTGATCAGGGTGAGTAGTATAGGTGGTGTTACAATAGAGTTAATATAGGTAAATATGTGCGTTAAATAGCTCCTGTAATGAGATATTAGCTATGTCATCAGCAGAACTCTAACTTCCTGCCATTAAATAATTTTGCTTCCTGTTGATTTCAGAACAGTGGTCCTTTTGCTGTTTTGCTGTGTTACATTCTATTCCCAAAGAGTGCCCATGAGGTGTGGAACAGCCTTTGTTACATCCCATTGGTGGGATGAGCAAAAGCCTGAATTGGCACAGTAGCTTTCTGGGCTGGGCTATAGCCAGAGTAAGAGAGTGATGAATAACTGGAGTACAGTGTTTGGTGAGCTCAGATATAGACGAGTTGACACAATATCAGTGAGTTGAGGTATGCCCTGTGGATGTACAATGCTAATGTTTGGCCATGCTTTGTAGAAGTACAATGTTAGTTGGGATACCTCGTACCTTCTGTTAATGGGAACAGTTTTTCTCTGACTATGTTATTTAAAACTGTCATATTCTTGTACATCTCTGCCTAATTTCTCTTCATTATCTGTGCTCCTGGGATAACAACCCTACTTTCTCCAACCTAACCTTGTAGATAAAATCCCTCATCTTTAGAATCATTGTGGTAAACTTCTGTGTACCATCCCAAGGATTTTAGCATCCTTTGTAAAATGTGGTGCCCAGAACAGATGCTCTAGTTGTGGCCTTATCAAAACATATAGGCTCAAAATAACTTGTGCTTTTGTATTTAGCATCTCTTTTTAAAAACTCCAAACTGATCCTATATGGTCTAATAACTCCTTTCTCACTATGTCTTGTGACTTACAAAGATCTATATTCCAAATCTTCTGCTCCTGCACATTCTGTAGAATTGTGTTATTAAAGCTGAATTGCCTCTCCCTTTCCATTCTGCAAAAATACACCAACTCACACTGTTTTGCTCTAAATGCTATCTGTCAATTGTCTATCCTTTCTGACGGTCTATTTCCTGCTGATGAGTATTGTTCATACACTTTTCCATGTCTCCAATGTATCATTGGCAAGTTTTGAAATTTTACTCTGCATCCCAAAGTCCAAATCATTTGTATACCTCTAGCTCCAACAAAAAGGTCCTGGTCGTAGCCATTGGGGAACCTCATTATTTACAATCCTCAGAAACATCCATTTGCCACAACTTGTTGTTCTAAGCCAATTTTTGTTTTAATCCAAGCCGCATGAACCTCCCTGTTCTAAGAGCACCAGTGTTTTAATGTGGTACTTGGGTAAGTGTTTTCCAAAATATCTGGATAGTATCCATTGCATCCCTTCATCAATGGTTACTTCATTAAAAAATTCAATTAGTTTAAACACAATGTATCTTTTACCAATCCGTTCTGGTTCTTATTCATTAATTCAAATCACTCCAAAACCTTTTAAATTTTGTGCTGATTATTGATTGTGAAACATTGCACCTCACTACTGATCAGCCATCATTGTTTTTCCACACTTCCTTGAACAAGTGTGTCACATTTGCCACTTTCAAATCCTTGGGCAACTCCCCTGTACAAAGGGAACTTGGGAGAACATGGCAACTCCTTTGGGTCTCACCACTCCAATTCCTTTCACAATCTAGGATGTAAGCTGACTTATCAACTCAAGCCAAATCCAGCCTTTTCAATACAGCCTTTCAATTTTTATCCTATCCATTACTTTTACTATCTCCCCTTCTATTGACTTTTTTCAGCATCCTCTTCCTCAGGGAACAGTGATGGAAAACACTGATTAAATTTCTAGCCCTGGCCTGCACCTCTAAACCTTCATCACCTTCTTTCACTCTAACAGGCTCCACACCACCTCTTACTACTACATATGTACCAGGAGAAGATGTTGGCGCTCTCTTTTATGTTAACGACTATTGTATTCTCATGTTCTCCCTTTGACAGTCTTACTTTCTCTCCACTTTTTTCTCAACCTGGTATTTTACCTGGATCTCATTTGAAGAATTCATTTGACCTAAAGACAGATAGAAAATATAAAGAAAGAAGCAAGGCTGGTCAAACTCACTTCACCAGAAATGGAACCTTCGTTCTGGTTCACCTACCTTTCCCTTACTGAAACATCTCTTCCCTGAAGATCAATCAGTGTTCTAATGAAATGTTTTTCTGTCAGACATGGTTCAATTCTACACAAAAACAAAGTTGCTGGAGAAGTTCAGCAGGTCTGGCAGCACCTGTGAAGGCTAAAACAGAGTTAACGTTTCGGGTCCGGTCACCCTTCCTCAGAACCCAGACCCGAAACATTAACTCTGTTTTTTTCCTTCACAGATGCTGCCAGACCTGCTGAGCTTCTCCAGCAACTTTGTTTTTGTTCCTGATTTACAGCATCTGCAGTTCTTTCGGTTTTTATGGTTCAATTCTACCCTGGTTAGGTTCCCTCTGGGCCCATTAAAGTTGGCTCTCTTCCGATTTAGAAGCTCTACTTTAGAGTGTTCCTTGCACTTCGCCAATATTAATCTAAATTGGTAGACTGGATGATTTGCATAGATGTTTTTCCTGGTGAAAATGGTCTGTCTGAACAACTGGATCTGTGTCTGCCTGTTGGGAGTCTCTCAGTGCTGCTTGGTCTACGTGTTCTATAACGACACTGTTGTGCATGTCTTTGAAGTAGGTTCCACATAAACACTGATTTAGTCTCAACTGGAGTATTGTGTCCTGTTTTGAGCATCATTTAGGAAGTATACGAAGGCAGTAGAGAGGGTGCACAATAAATTTAGGAGAATGATTCCAAGCATGAGGAACTACAGTAATGTGGATATTATAGAAGCTTAGGCTATTCTTATTGGAAGAGATTCAGTGGGATTTGATGGATGAAACCATGAGGGGTCTGGACAGAGTGGTATGGGAGAAACATGCCATTGGCAAAAGGATCCAGATTCAAGGTTTAAGGTGATAACATTTTGTTATACAGTGAGTAGTTTCAGATCTGGAATAAACTCCTGAGATTGTAGTGGAGGCAGATGCAACTGAGGCTTTCTGAAGAGAATTCGACAATGAGGGGGAAAATTCTGAAGTGCTGGTGAGAAAACATAGAATATGTGAGTGGGTGAGCTCCTGTCACAGAGCTGGCATAGACAGGATGGTCTGGAAGTCTGTAACCACTCTCAATTCTATTCTATGTTTCTTTGATTGGCACTGCTGACTCTATGTGTCGCTGTGTGTACTGCTTGGACTGTGTCTGGGCTACTCAATCCATTTTGACGTTACTGTCTCCATATCTGTGCAGCTTAATCCATACCTGTAACCTTCTGGCTCTGTTTGTTATTGTGCTTCTTGCTTCGCACTGAGATGCGTTCTGACATATTTTATGTTTGCTTTAGAAATGACCGATCATTTAGGGAAACATGGGGATGGTGTGAAGGACATTGCATTCCAAGTAGAAGACTGTAACTTCCTGGTGAAGGTATGAATAAAAAGGAGTGTGAAGCACTGTGTCTGCAGGGGCAGTGGCATAAGGTTGTCAGCTGTCACACCGTTTGGTTTGTACAACATGCACTGTGAGGGCAAGGTGAATTTTCCTTTTAAGCAGATCACTGTTTTGGTGGTCACCCTTTTCGGGATTGAGCTTGATTCTGTGAATTAAGGGCTGTTGCTCTGCAATTTTGATGATTAAAAGGTACAGTGAAGTTTTTCTACAAAAAAAGTGGGGAATACTTGACTAATTGCATGCTTCTTTGGACTTTCTGGATCGGTGCTGTCAAATTCACAGCACTGTTTGAAAACTCCCCTTTCTGTGCACTTCTGAACTTGGCTAAATCTGATGCACCAAGAGTCCATTACCAGCAGCTCCTCGGTGATGTGCTGTTCTCCCAGTCAATGTGGGTTAATGATTTCCTTCTGGCTTGGGCATTATAGAAACCTAGTTCATCACCCTCACACTGACTATTTCTCAATCGTTCTCCAAACAGCTGCTGTCAATTGTGTGCACTCTGATCTTTGCCAGTGCAGCTCAAGGCCAGTGCCTGTCCACATTTCAATTTTCTGATACTGCAAACTGCTCCTCAGCTGATGGAGTCAAGAAGATTGACTTCCTGGCCACAAGCCAGGTACCTCCTGGCACCACACTGCAGTTAGCTGCTCTGAGTGGCAGCTGCGTACCTCGGCCCTGATTCATCACAAAGAATCCATCCTTCCCATGGGGGGAAAGGTATATCCTGGATCACTAAGAGCTCCGTATCTGGGATGTTCCTAAGAAGGCATTCTTATGTTGCCCTCATTATTTTGATTCTTTATAAAAGCTTACATTTATGTAATGCTTTCAATGGAAAGAAATATCCCAGAACATTTCACAAATGCTCGTATATTAGAATTGGCACTGTGCCAGAAAGGGGAAGGTTAAGAGAGATGACAGAACACTTGGACGTTCAAAAGGTCTTGGAAAGCTCGCAAGCCTCAGGGAGGATTTCCCAGAGTGCAAGATGCAAATTGCTGAAGGTTCAGGCTGTGGGGAAGATGAAAGGAGCAGTGAGAGGAAGGAAGACCATTATTAAATGAACGGCGTCTCTTGGAGGAGATATAACGCTGGAAGAGATTTCAGCCAACAGTGTGGTGAAGATATCTAAAGATGTAAAGGTGAGCATGAAGTTAAGAGGGTGGGGAACTAATATAGGTTAATAATAGCAAAGATTCTGCGTGAATACAACTTACTTTTGACATGATACCATCTTCAGAGTTTTGTGTAAGTTAGAGAATTGAGAACGTTAGAATAATCAACTCAATGGGTCTGGTAACATAGAGATTGCGAAAGATGCCCTCATCAACATTCTCTATTAAAGAAAAATAAGTCACAATCCTGACACTAAATGTAATTGTAAAGCAAATCTATCAGTGTCTGAAAGAGTGCTTAATGTTCAGAACACTATCTCTCTGTCTAATTCTCCTTGTCTCTCTATCTTTTCTTTAGAAGCTGTAGTCTACAACACTTAATAGTTGAGGTCAATATTTCCCTTAAACTCGATCACAACATCAATCTGTCCCTTTTAATCGATTGCTTACAGGTGATATAGACTGACGGTTGCTCTGACTGAGTGGAGAGGGGCTAAGGTTTCTGTTTTACCTGTATTTGCAGAAAGCAAAGGAGCAGGGAGCTATCATTGTGAAGGAGCCATGGATTGAGGAGGATGACTATGGCAAAGTGAAGTATGCTGTTCTGAAAACGGTAAGTACAGCAGGAAGTTCCTGGCCAATCCCTGAAAGAATAATGTTTCAGTAGTAAACATATTCACAAGTTCCCACTATCCTGCTGCCAAATTGATTGAATGGTCCTGGGACAGAGGAGGGAAATCAAAGCAGTCGTGGCTCCTATTCTTGCTGACTATTGAGGGAATCCTGCTGGGCATATGGAGTGAGAACAGGAAGTGATTTAGCAGTGATCCCTCCAAAATCAAAGATTCTATGTAATCTTAGAACAGAATCATAGACTCCCTACAGTGTGGAAGCAGGCCATTTGACCCATCAAGTCCACATTAACCCTCCAAAGAGCATCCCACCCAGACCCAAATCCCTACCCTATCCCTGTAACCCGGCATTTCCCATTTACCACCTAGCCTGCAATCTATGGGCAATTTAGCATGGCCAAACCACCTAACCTGCACACCTTTGGACTGTGGGAGGAAGCTGGAACACCTGGAGGAAGCCCACACAGACCCGGGGAAAATGTGCAAACTCCACACTGACAGTTGTCCAAGAGTAGAATTGAACTCGGATCCCTGGCATTGTGAGGCAGCAGTGCTGACCACTGTGCCACCCATGCTATCATCCTGAGTGAGGCACTGGTGGGCAGCCAATAGCAGGTTTGACAACCTTGACATTGATCTGAGCCGATATAATCTAGGCTTGATTGAAACCTAGTGACACTGACATGCTGGTCAGAAACCATTCCCAGAACACATTGGGGTTGCTCAGTGCCCACTGTTGCAATTTCAGTCCTTATAAAGCACCTGGCCCATGAAACTCAAATGGGGCAAAATTGGGAAATGAACAGTAAATGTACGGTCAACAACTAAAATCCCTGGATTATTCAATATCATCTGAAAGTTACATTCAGTTATAATAGAACAACCATTCTGATAATGTCTTATTCCTCTGCAGCTCCACATCCCTTGTCCTACACACTCTTCCACTTCCGGATACTGAAAGATAGATTCATTTCACAATTCCAGGATTCAAAGATACAGAATTTCACATCTTTACAGCCTTTCCTTTCCCTTATGGTCCACAGGCTATGTGCCATCTCATCATTACCTCCTGATTCACTTCCAATTTTTCCTCTAACCCATTACGACATGAATGGATTGCACATGATGAATCTTAACAATTTGGCAAAGCCTCTGAATCCCAAGGTCACAGCTAGCACCATGTGTTTCTAACACCTTTTGTTCTGCTCTTGTTTTCAGTATGGGGATACAACACACACCTTTGTGGAGTACCTGGAGCCATACCGTGGCCCCTTCCTCCCTGGATTCGTGGAACCTCTCTTCAAGGATCCACTCCTTTCCAAACTGTAAGTGGATCAATATATTCTGAAATTTTTACTTCGGTAAAATATTTAAAGGCTAGTACAATAGATTTGGGGCATCAGCAAGTAGCACACCAACAGCCTGTAAGAGATATGAGAAAGGTCACACAAATTCAGGGGAGGTTACCACACTGAAATGAAACAGGGTGCAGTAGCTACTAATGCTTTGAGCGGGATCATTTTTCCAGCCAGCGCCTCATTTTTCAAGAATATTACAACACAGTGATGACGCAACTGTTAGTTGTGTGCACTGTACTCAGGGAAGGTAGTTGTGTGTATTGTACTTAGATAAGTTACGCATGTGTGTTATGCACTGCACACCTGATGAAATGATGGTCATCTGCATTGAAGCTGACATTGCTGATATTTGTATGTGTATTCCAGGCCCTCAGTCAATCTGAATTTCATTGACCACATCGTGGGAAACCAGCCAGAAGATGAGATGGTGCCCGTGGTAGAATGGTATGAGCCAGTCTCTCATACAAACATACAACACAGGAACAGGCCAAGTTATTCATCCCCTCAAGCCTGCTCTGCCATTTGATAAGATTATGGTGATTTGATTCAGTCCTCTACTTGCCTGTCTATCCCATATAAATTTTAACTTCATTGTCAGTGAATCGCCTATAGAAAACAAAAAAAGATTGCTGGCAAAACTCAACAGGTGGGGTAGCATCTGTGAGGAGAAATCCATAGTCCACATTTCAAGTCTGGTGATTCTTCATCAGATATTAACTATTTAATTCAACCGTAAAAATATTCAATGACTCCACTGCTCTTTAGGGAAGAGAGATCCACAGATTAATGCCCCTCTGAGAGAAAAATAATATCTCCTTACCTTCTCCACAACTCATCATGGTGTAAAATCAATCCTGTAGATTTGTTTCCACCATCCTCTTGTCCCTGTTGGGACCATCTGCTTTCTCTAGAGCAATAGAGAAAAATTTGTGGCAGTATAATAAAAAGAGGCTCTTTTCCTAAAGAAGATTACTGCATGTTAGCATTTAGGTACAACTTATGGCAACCAGGAGGCTGGAGGGAACGCTTCAAGAACATCCTCAAGCCTCCTTGAAAAATGCGACGCTCCTTCCAACTTGTGAGAATGTCTTGATCAAGGCTTTGAAAGCAGAAAAGAAACGTCCACAAAAGGTGCCAATCATTTTCAGCGTCTCTGACATGCCCAAGTGGAGGCCAAGTGCAAACAGTATGTGAAAAGCCACTCACCCAACCATCTCTTCAAACACCATTTGTCTTACCTGGGCTGGAATGTACAGATTGAAAATTGGAGCATGTAGCCACTTCAGCACCGACAAAACCTGAGTGGAAGAAAGTCATTGATCCCAAGTGACTGTCGAAGAAGGAGATAAGTTACATTGATACCCATATCTATACCCATACCAGAAGGGTGCTGTGGGATTTGTTCCTTTGTGATCACCAAAGAGAGATCTAAACACAAACTCTACACAGTTCGGGGCAATACTGTAAACAATAACCAAGTCTATTTATTAATGTAGAAAATGGATTACTTCACGGAAACATAAATTAAAGAGTTGCCTGACCATAGGACCGAACCTTTGGTCAAAGAGATAAGGTTTAATGTTAGTTTTACAGCAAGAAAACAGGAGGGGTTTAGGGTGGGAATCCCAGAGCCTACGAACCTTGGCAGTTCACGCCACAGCTGTGAATGATGGGGCAAATGGGAAGGGGAAATGTACAAGATTGTGAACAGGCTCTGAGCACCGGAAACACTGGCCAGAGGTCAGTGAAGTTGATGCCTGAGAGCACGAAGTTTGTGTCAGTGCCAAAGGCAGTGGCTTTGATCCTCCCAATATTTCACCGGAGGAGTTTATAGTATTTAGAGCAGTGGGTGTCTACAATGTAAACTTCATATCTGGTGAGGTTTGGATGCGGTGTGGTTGGAACGGGGCAGCCTTGATCAGAAACTGGGGATGGTGAGTCAATTCAATCTATGATCTTCATCTGGTGAGGGTAAGAAGCTTTAGGTTACACACTCATGGAGCAATTTGGATCATGGAGTCTACATTGGGCTCTGGTCAAAAAAAAAAACACATCAGTATAAACTCTTGAAGACTAGGAGAATACACAGGCATACAGCAAGATATGAGGATTTATAAAACAAAGTCAGGAACAGCACCTAGAGAGTGAGAGAAAAATATACTAAACTACACATCAGATGAAGACTATGTAGACTAATCTCTACAAATGCTTGATTGTGGAGAAGCTGCAAGTAAAGACTTTGTCCCTCCTTCAGACACAGTTCCTAGCAGCTGTAATGTTAAATCTTGCGATCCACAGTGAATGTAACTCATTAATACAAGCTCTAATCTTTTCCTCAGGTACCAGAAGTGTCTATTGTTTCACCGATACTGGTCAGTGGATGACAAACAAATCCACACGAATTACAGCTCCTTGCGCTCCATCGTTGTGGCCAACTATGAGGAGACGATCAAAATGCCCATCAATGAACCAGCAGCTGGAAAGAAAAAATCCCAAATCCAGGTCTGAGCGTCAGTCACTGCCTTGGTACCATTTTCCTCTTTGACACAACATTAACCAGCAGCAACTTTCAGTTAGAGGGGCCACATTTAAAACCAGGAAATGGGTTGGACAGGGGTAGAAAAAATGAGATGGGGACTGTAAATTGAGTTGAGACAATTTGTGAGTGGTAACTGACATAGAATTTGAAAATGCCAACAAATGTCAAACACAGTAGTAAATGGAAAAGCTGAGCTTTTTAGGTTTTGTAATCAGAATTACAAGGAGCTATTTTCACCTACTTAGCTCTTGGAGTTGGATCGCAGGCAGAAAACAGGCCTGTTGGATTTCCTTTCAATTTGAACGCCATCCCGTCTTCCAAATGGGTCTGGAATGAGCAATTGAACCTCCCTCCAAAATCAGGCAGAAGCTTCATTCCCAAATATAAAAGGAGGCATGAATGGGTGTGTACCATTTTCTGAAGTGCCAACTAACTGGTTGCCTAACATGCCCAGAAACACCTGATGGGGCAGAGGCAGTCAGATCTGCATTTGAGCTTAGATTTTAAAGGCAAACATGATGGGCATTTTTAAAGGCTGCTTGCGTTCTTTGTCCAACTGGCATTTGTCTTTCATCAGTCACTTGATTGTACTGTTAATTTTATCCCTTGCTCTGTTTGAACCAGAAGGGTTGTCAGTCATGAGACCATAGCTGTTATGTGTTCAGTGGAAAAGGAGACCAGCATTGGTGGTGATGGTGGGTGGGGGGGAAGTCAGTGGTTCTGTGCTCTCCCACTCATACACACTCCCCAACCACAATATTTACTGAAACGGGTGTTGTATCTCATTTGTAGTAGATGCTACTGAACTCTCTTCTTTCCAATTATGGCTACACCACAAAACGTCCAGAGGCAAAGTATCATCAGATGCTTGTCCAAGCGTAACACTGGAAGACTTTACCATTGTGCCAAGATTTTACATGTGGTAAAACTGTCATAGTCCTAGCAGAACATAGGGCTACTCTCTCATTAAAGAGACTCAACTGGTAGTTTAACAAGTGGTTTAACCCGAGGATCACCACACCTCAGGCAAGGGGAGAGATTGAGAAGGAGTATCCTCCATGGTAACCTCCGCCAGTGTAGGAATTGGACCTGTGCTTTTGGCACCACTCTATATTGCGGTATTGAATTAAAGTCAATCAAGAGCAAGTGTCACTTGTTTGATTATATCTGTTGAGATGCCATGAGCCATTTCTGCAGCCTCTGGAATATCCCCTTGAAATAAGTGTATCCACCCTCTGGATCAGTACAGCAGATCTTGAGTTCTGCTCTTTGCTGCAAGGTCACGTTCAGCTTGGTACTTACAGGAGCAGTCACAAACAGCATTGGCTGCACCATTCTGTCAGCATGGGGTTGTGCCTGGTCTGAGGAAATCTCTCCTCACTAGCTTTCCATGCAGGACCTCCTCTCATAACGTACAGTGAGGGATAGAAATACCGATTAGACAGAGTGGTATGGAATATCAGTATCAGACAATGAAACACAACATTCACATCGTTTCAAATGAGAGTGCCTGGCAAGTTGTTGATTGATTTATCACATTTTCCAACCTTCTCTTGTTCTAGGAGTACGTAGATTACAATGGTGGATCCGGAGTGCAGCACATTGCTCTCAACACCTCTGATATCATTCAGGCCGTGAGTCACATGGTTATATTTCCTCCTTCGCCCTCAGTTCATCCAACGCAATCATTGCATTTGTGTCACGTACATTTTGAAGCAAATACGGACAAACGTGATTAATGAAAGGTAGTCCTCCTTGATAGTTACTATATAGTTAAAACAGATCCAACGTGCCTTTGTATCAGGCAGGAATTTAACGTTTTGTGATTGACTTCACTGTGTATTGGTCCTTATTCTCCTGGTTCTGGGTAGGTACGAACCATTAAAATGCCACTCTCTTCAATTCCCATATCAGCTAACATATACTACACCATACAAAGCTGCGCGATATCAAAGATATCAGCTTCACATCATTCACAATCCTCCATCACACTTCGGCTCATAACATTGGTCAACAGCTAGAGAAAGTCCAATGCATATTAATGCTAATCAAAAAGCTGTTACTGGAATGATGGAATCACAGGGCTGGTGTCTCATTGAGAAACCTATGGATGTACCAATCACGAACGTGCCTTGCCTGTTATAGGGAGTGGGAGCATTTCAGACAATAGGAGCTATATTTGTCCTGCAGCCACGAGTTTTACACTGCCGGATGGACAAGGGTATGAACCAGGTTTCTGATCCGCTGTCCCTGAGAACACTCGGCTTCACTGAGTATTATCCCATCGATAGCAACAGGTGGCGCCCTTGTACTTTGTGCAGGCATTTTGTAACGATCTAAGTCAATACATTGACCTCTGCTGGTAGCAGTTGGAAAAACACTCGCCCTGCTGACCTCCCATCACTCAGCTCCGCTTTAAACGTAAAGAATGAATTCTTCTCACAGAAAGCAATCACAGGGATACCTGTTGTTATTTGCACGGTGGTCTCTTGTCTCACGGGCCATTTCCCCCTGTGTGAGAGGGTGTTAGTTATCTGACAGAGGCAGTTATTATGGCGTAGGAAGGAGCCACACAGTCCAAGCTGGCCCCCTGGAGAGATATCCAGTTAATTCCACGCCACCACTGTATTCCTATAGTCCTGTAAGCTTTTATTTCTATCAAGTGCTTACCCCATTATCTTTTCAAATTATTTAACAGGAATACAGAGTACTGGGCTAATGGTAAGATTCTTGGTAGTG